CACTCCAAAGAAAAAGGAAAAATTTAAATCGCATCATATGACCCTTTAAAATATATGTTGTTTGCAATATAAAATAATTGGCTGTCCTGACATTGTCCTAAAGTCAAAATAATTAAGTATGTATTAAGTTGGCAGTGCATCTTTTTTTTCTATCATATCTTAGAGCAATGTTAGATTATATACCCGAAGAGAATAATTTTATAGCATTTTTCACAATAAATACTGTTCCAAAGCTGCTTTACAGAGAATATTGCCTAATAGCCCCCAGTGAGCAAGCTGAAGGCAACAAACGCAACAAGGAACTCTCCAGAAAGATACAGTACAAATACAAACTCTTCTTTAAAGTATGTACACTGCATGTACAGAGAAATAAGAAATGTCTCCTAATAGAATACAATAATAATCTCATGACTGTTTCCTTTAGGAAATTAGAATGAAATGTAATTCAATATTAAGGGCCAGTCTTACTAACAGCTTGCGCCAGCGCAAACCGTCTTTTGGCGTTAAAATAGTACTGTCAGATTTTACTAAAGACGCGCCGTGAAGAATTAGCGCTGAAAAGGCGTGGACAGTTATTTTTGCGCCTGACCTTATTGAATATGCATTTGTAGGAGTTTCAAATGTAAAAATTATGGGAGGAGAGTATTCAAATTAATCACGCAACGCATTTTACTAACGTTTGCGCTCGTCAAATTACATGTCCTAAACTATTTTGCGCTTGAAATGAGGCACCACAGAGAACAGAGAGAAGGGTGGAAGGGTGGAAGGGAGAGGATTTTTCCATAGGCATTAATTTATTTGGAAAGAACACATTATTTGAACATATCGTTTGCCAAGCCATGTTATTTTTAATTTGCTTCAGGGAATAAAAGACGACTTGGAACCCTCAAGAAGGAGTCACGGAATACCAGCTTTATCAAAACTTCTTGTAATCCTTCATTTTTTGGCCTTTGGTTCTTTTCAACGTACTGTGGCTTATTTATTTATTTATTCTTTATTTGCGACTGCTCTAATTTGCGCTGCGCCTGGTGTATTGCGTTGGTCGGTATGTAAATGAGATGTTGCGTCTGTGTTCTTTCATTTGCGCGTTGTTAGTGAATCACCTGCAGAAATTTCGGAATTGCACTCTCACGCTAATTTACCCTGTTTAGTAAAACTGGCCCTAAATATCAGAATATTAACATTATTGCAAATGTTTATTTATTTATTGCATTTTTATTTACATTTTTTTTCTGTAAAACATCCCACCATCTTTTGAGTTTGCCCCAGTTTGAAAGCATTAAGAAATTCGGAGCTCTTTTTGAATATGCTCAAACAAATATAAAGTCATCACTTTGAGTTTGGTATACAATGCGATGACATATTAAGGAAGTCTCTGTCATGCAGCGCACAGATGCCCACATTTATCTTGCTCATGGATCATTTACTAAGTTAGCGCAGGTCACATTGATCAGCTCTGTGTGGAGGTTTGTGCAGACTTTAGTGGGGTCAGTGCACTTAAAGGCTGGCCGGTTGAAACGGCTGGAGTAAATTAGCTGGACGTTTATAGGGCTAGATTCTGACATCAAAGCTGGAATAGATAATGAGGCCATTAGTCTTCCTACCTCAAATCACTCCAAAGAAGGTCTTTTTCACATACACACGCTGATGCATAGGCACATATTTTGATTAGACTGCTCCCACAGAATAGTTCTAATCGTGGCAAATGTTTGAAATGGAAATTGATTCTGAGCTATTTATGCACCATTTCAGATGCAGTGACTCTTACACCTCAGAGACCCTGTCAAACTTCTGCATTCAAGTTCTGTCAGAAATTCTGCATTATGGTTATATTTACCAATCTATAAGCCAGGAAACATTTACACCTAAATAACATTCAGTGAGACTGCATATTAAATGCATATCCTCCATTAGTCGAACCCAATTATCAGCATTCGCTCTGACAGTAACATCCAAAAAAATTACCTCCAGGGATTTTTTTTTCAAGCATAAGATTCAATGTACCATAATTAATGTATTAATGATATGATCTGATTTCAAAATTACCCCTTTTTGGAGGCTAATTCAGACTGTAATGGCAAAGAGCATTTATGAAACAGCTGTTTAGCATTCAACAAACTCTGGCCTCACTCGCTTTTTGTTGTTGCTGTGTTAAAAGGATCCATTCTGTAAATGTCTCCTGCACAGTAAATCAAGACCTCCTGCCCCCAAAACACACTACTGAAAATATATGATATGAAATATCAGATGGCTTTTAACCATAATGTGATAAGCATTTTTCCTCACAGGTTGCATGGGTCAGATGGAACATTTAACCACGTATGCAAGTATCCAGCAGCCTTTGGGGGCATCTGTAAAACTGCTAGGATGACTTACTGTATAAAGCCGAAGAAAGCCCTGAAAGTTTGTGGACCATGAGGGTGTGATTATGTGTCTCTCCCCACATTCAATTCCTGTGGCTCCTGCTGCCAGCTTCTACAGTGCCAGAACCTCATAATCCTTGTTAAAGTATCTCAAAGCTGACTTTGACCTCCATCCAAACCACAGTGGGATCGGCGGCGCTCCATCACTGAATAATTCTGGCATTAATTTAAGGGCCGATTCTATGAATTGTGGCTGCTGCTGTAAGGCTCTGTTTCCACTCATCAGAGCTGTTTAGGAATAAATCACAGTGGGATTGTGTTAAGAGTGCTAAAGAAGATTAAGTCCAGGATTTATTAGAATGGGTTATATATTAAATATCAATTAACAATAATAGATATACAGGTATTTATGGTTCAGAAGTGACCACTATTGCCGCTGCAATATATTACTTGGTCAATATGTTATTCATGTTCTTTGATACATTACTTTTTTTTTCTTTCTTTTTTTCCACAGGAGTACCAGATTGACATAATATTTGCGCAGACATGGACAGACAGCCGGCTCAGATATAACAGCACTATGAAAATATTGACTTTGAACAGTAATATGGTTGGACTCATTTGGCTACCAGACACTATCTTCAGAAATTCCAAGAGTGCAGATTCACATTGGATTACTACACCAAATCAGCTCCTTAGAATATGGAATGATGGGAAAATACTTTACACTTTGAGGTAAGCCATTTTTAATAATCTGATATTTGTGAAAGTAATTGAATAAAAATGCAATGTTATTTAAGATTAACTTTAAACTTAATCTTAAATAACAAAACTAAGTAATTATGGGGAAAAATATCTGTAGCAAGATCTTTTATGTAGAATAAAAAATTCAGTTGCTTTCTATACTTATGGAACTTGAGCACACAGAATGTGCTCAATTGTTTTCTAAGACATTTGAAATAAAAAGTCAAGAAGCGTTTTCTTTACTGAAATATGAAACTGTTAATGTGAACCACTTCATCAGTGACAGTGGGTCACTGATTTTCAGTGTCTTTATTGAAATTTTTTTTGTTTGCTACTTTTTATCTTGCAAAAATATAGGGATATTTTGTTGCAGAACACAAACAATTGTCAGTCTTGTCGATTCAAATAAGGATCACCCTGACAAGGCCACCAGAGGAAAAAAGTACATTTTTAAAACCCACAAGCTTTTGGCAAGGTCATCATAACAACATTGCATGAAAGGTATAAGAGAAAAACTATTTGCAAAACAGGATGTAATAATAAAGCAGACAGTAGGTCAGCGTCAGTGGTCTAGTTTCAGGATTCTTGCAACAGAGCGTAAAGTAGTACTTGTGATTTTTGTTTACTTTAATCAGTACTATTAAGTAAGCTAAATAATTTATATTATATAAATAAATATATATAATTGTATATATTATTAATTATTAATAATTATATAAAAATTATACTTTGCATAATGTCTAAAGAAAACTCTGAGACAGGGGTTCTCAACTCTGGCCCTTGAGGTCACTCTCCTGCAGAGTTTAGCTCCAACCCAGTAACTTTCTATTAATCCTGCCCTTACGAAAGTGTAATAAAAGTGTAGTAACCATGTTTTTTTGGCATATTGATTACCATTTGTATGATCACAGTTTTACACAAGTACCATGGTTAAACTATGGTTAATTTGTGGTTACAATGGTTTAACTGTAGTAACCATGTGGTTTTATTGGTCCCACTTTATATTAGGCGGACTTAAAGGGATAGTTCACCCAAAAATGAAAATTTTATGTTTATCTCCTTACCCCCAGGGCATCCAAGATGTAGTAAACATCAAATTTTCATTTTTGGGTGAACTATCCCTTTAACTACTATGTACTTTCATTTAAATTAATCATTTGATACAGTAAAATGCACTTATTTTGTATATATGTTTTTACATTGAGCTTACATTTTAAAACCTCAATAGCCACAAAAGTGTTTTTGCAATACAGTATGAACACAATAAGTACATTGTACTTAATTTTTGATGTAAGTACATAGTAGTTAAGGCCACCTAATAAAAAGTGGGACCGTTTTGTTTATAGTAAAACCATTATTAATTTTTGTAAGGGTTTACAGTGCCTGTGGCCTGCAGTTGATTACTGAAGAACAGAATTTTGACTTGTTCCTCAGTTTGTAAAAAAGAAAAGAAGGTGTTTAAAGTAATGCACTTGCAGTGGAGACCCAACAAGATATCTGGAGGGAAATGTCAAGATGTTTGTGGTTGTTCTTTCGATTTTTTCAAGCGTTTAAATAGGCCTGGGCGATAAAATAGTATCGGTATTTATCGACAGTACACCTTCGATAACGATATAAAAAATGTTCGATATAGTGCACGATATAGGCATGTGCTATGAGTGATGCAGACGGCACACACAAACAGGAGCACAGGTGCCTGCCTGTGATGAGGGGATTGTGAATACAAAAATGAATATTAGTCGAATTTAAAATAAACATTTGCATTTGAATGTTAGAAGTGCATCAGGGAGCATCTCGTGCTCCACTGATGATGCTCCCTGATGCACTTCTAACATTCAAATGCAAATGTTTATTTTAAATTCGACTAATATTCATTTTTTTATTCACAATCTCCTCATCACAGGCAGGTACAGCACTCATGTCCGTGTTTGTGTGTTTGTATGTGCTGTCTGCGTCACTCATAGCACGTGCCTATATTGAACATTTTTATATCGTTATCGAAGAAGGTGTACCGTCGATTCGGGAGACAAGCCAAAAGTTTAACCTATTTAATCTGCAAATAGAACGTTACAAATGAGATATTTGTTTAATTTTTATTTTGTGTTTGACTATTAAAACAAAAAAATATTTGTTGTTTGTCTCAATAAATTGAGTTAATTTAAAAATACAGTGGTTAAATGTAAACATTTTTTTCTATTGCTCTTTGTTTTAAAAAAGGTTATAAAAATGTCAATAATTATCGATACCGAACGATATGAAACATTATATCGTTGATACATTTTTTAGCTATATCGCCCAGCCCTACGTTTAAACATAGCAACAAATCATTTTTAATGATGAAAAGTAAAATGAAATTTAATTTTAAAGTAATATGTTTAGTTTGATACTAACACATACAGTATGCAACAAAGAGTCTCGGATATGATTTTATCAGTCTATATTTACCTATTCCACTTGCACGTGAGTTTTTGCCTAGATACTTTAGGCTTTTGAGTAAAATTTGGACACAACATCCTTTTCTCTGTACTTTTTACACCCCTTTTTGTTAGTTCCAATACCTCTGTTCCTAAATATGATTTCCAGTGCCTTTAATCAGCTACCCAGACTGAGCAGATGTCACTTTGACATTTTTAGGCGCCTCTATTTCAGATTAGGTCATCTCTTTCAAAGTCCTTGATGAAATATCAGGAGCTGGGATGAATTTAGGTCCACAGTTACAAATTTACAGCAAAAAAAGTCAGCAGTCACTGCCAAAGCCACTATGTCAAAGAGTATTCTCTGAGACAGCAAAACACAGTGTTCTGTTCTGAAAAGTAATATTTATAATATTTGATGGGTCTGTGTTTTGATCTGAACATTAAAGGCTTTGGAAATGTGGCCAAAGATCAGCAAATCCGAACTCTCAGTGACATCCGCCTGTCCTCTGAGTTAGAGCTCCACTGCGAGACAGCTTTTCTTGTCTGGTGTGACTCCAGTGTCGGTGATGTTGAGATGTGATGACACTCGTTCATATCCGACTAGCCTAGTTTGGTTCAGTGGTTGGTATTTGTGACGGATCTGTTCAATAAGACTCTAGGCTAGGTTTGACCACAATTAGGCCAGGAAGCCACAGAAACTGCCTGTGATGTCATATATTATTTAGCAGCCCGCTGCAAATGGGGCTTGTGAACAAACCTTTGGAAACCTTGCATGGGCAGCAGCAGAGTCCTCTGGTTAATCTTTTATAGGGGCCAATTCACACTGTGAATGAACTGCACAACAACCTCTTACACTGTCTTGACTTTTTGGTCAAACAAATTGCTTATGATTTGAATGGCAGCTGCAACAAACAGTCCATTTAGGAAACGACTACCTCCTCTCCTGAGAACCATAAAAAACATTATTTACCTCTTGTTGATGCAAGGAAAACTTTTAATTAAGTGGCTTGGAGATAGATCTCTGGCTATATGGGAACTAGGTGACAATGGTACTGTCTTATTAAATTTCAAGTTTTTCAATAAAATGTGAAAAGAACCTCTAAATTCCCCTGGGGTTCGTGGAAGTACTCGTGTCTATCCTTAATGTGTTGACTGCCTCTTAAAAAAAGGTTTTAAAAATTTATTGTAATAATTTATTCTAATATTTAACAGATTATAATACTCATACTTAAATGGATAGTTCACCCAAAAATGAAAATTCTGTCATTAATTACGCACCCTCAGGTCGTTCCAAACCCGTAAGACCTTTGTTCATCTTCAGAACACAAATTAAGATATTTTTTGATGAAATCTGAGAGCTCTCTGACTCTACATAGACAGCAAGGGTCCTACGATCAAGGCTCAGAAACGTAGCAAGGAGATCATTAATATAATCCATGTGACATCAGTGGTTCAACCTTAATTTTACGAAGCTACGAGAATACTTTTTGTGTGCGAAGAAAGCAAAAATAACGACTTTATTCAACAATTTGTCTCCTCCGCGTCACCCTGGTGCCATTTTGGAGAGTATCACATACATAAACAACGTATGCTGTTCTGTGCCAGCAGCACCTTACATGGATACATTGTTTACGTTGTTTACGCTTTGATCTGAACATTAACAACGAATCCACGTACATCCGTTGCATATGTTGTTTACGTATGTGATACTCTCAAAAATGGCGCTATAGGGTGACGCGGAGGAGACCAATTTTTAAATAAAGTCATTATTTTTGTTTTCTTTGCACACAAAAACTATTCTCGTAGCTTCGTAAAATTACGGTTGAACCACTGATGTCACATGGATTATTTTATCGATCTCCTTGCTACGTTTCTGAGCCTTGATTGTGTAAGGATCCTTGCTGTCTATGGGAGGGTCAGAGAGCTCTTAGAATTCATCAAAAATATCTTAATTTGTGTTCTGAAGATGAAACGAATATCTCACAGGTTTGGAACGACATGAGGGTGAATAATTGATGACAGAATTTTCATTTTTGGGTGAACTATCCCTTTAACATTTATACATCCTATTTATTTCTTGTTTTTATGTAAATTTATTGATTTATGCATAATTTATATAGTTTTTATTTGACATATCTGTTAACTATAAGAATTTATTCAGATACATAACACATTTTTGTACTCGTACATAACGTATATAGATTCTGTTTATTTTTTGTGGTCTTTTAAATAATTTAAGAATTATACTGTTGTGTTAAAAAAATTGCTTAAAAAATTGCATAAATGATCACAATAGTGTTAAGAAGAACATATCTGAAACCACACAATTTCCTTTCTCCCTTCCTTATTTTATTTATTGATTTATTTATTTTATTAAAAAACACCACAGAGAGTGAATGTGCTTACACCACTGTAGACATTACTAATGAGAGCCATAATGTGAATTACAGTATATGCCTCTGGCACTTCTCGTTATAAATACATATGTATCATCACGGCAGACTGGGGTGCACATGAGAAAGCATCGTTTGCTTATTGCAAACTAACACTGTAAGCAAATGGTTTATACATTTTCTTCAGCAGTGTCATCTACACCAACAGAGCCCAAAGCTCATAGTTAACAACATAAAGTAACAAAATGCATAAAATCTGTCTTTCTCATTTGAATTGCACTGTCAAGCTAACAATTCCAACTTTTATTCAAAGTGAAAGTGGAAATATGAAAAATTTGGGCTTGTCACATGAAACTAGTCTACTGTTGTCTTTTCATAAGTCTGAAACTACTGCTGCAGGTTTCCAAATATAGTCAGATGAGTGGGTGTCCACTGAAGCCGACTCTGCCCTAGTTATTCAAATCGGGACATCCAAACACACACTGCTACATTGCTTGTCATGTCCTTTTCAAGCTGTCCCTTCAGAAAAGCTCACCTCAGTGAGAACAACAGCAAGATCAAGACCTTGTCTGCTTATGTACAATCATGATTTAAAGGCCATGTGTTCAAATAAATATACTTAAAGCTGGCATTAACTTGGCAAAGAACATTGAAGCGCCTTCACAGAAGCAAGAGTTACATTGTACTGAATATCAAGTCTGATATTCAGGACAAAACAACATGATTGCTTTTATACTGCTGTTATACAACAACTATAAAGACATTCATATTACATAACATACACTACTATTCATCAATTCAAGTTTGGGGTCGGTAAGTTTTTTTAATGTTTTTGAAAGTCACTAACGCTCAGCAAAATACAGTAAAAAGAATAATATTGTAAATATTATGTTTTCTATTTTAATATATTTTACATTTATAATTTATTTCTGTGATGAATTTTCAGTGTCTTCAGTATCACATGATCCTTCAGAAATATGCTGGTTTGGTGCTGAAGTAACATTTCATAATATTTTGTTTAAAACAGTTTTAAGTGCTGCTTAATTTTTTGTCAATGCTATGATTCATTTTTAATAGAGCGTTCAAAAAACTGCATTTATTTTATTGGTTTATTTTTTTGTATTGTTGCTTTTAATCAATTTAATGCATCCTTGATGAATGCAAGTATTAATTTTTTTCACCAAAAAAAAAAAGGGGAACTTTTGAATGGAAGTGTAGTAGGCCTATTTCTGATTAAGCTATTTTTTTCCCCTTTTCAGTGATTTTGTTTTAAAGAAATATCAGCATTCTTGGAACGCCACTTGTCCAATCAAATTAGAGAAACAAATGTAACTTATGTCACGATGCACACACACGAGGAACGAGGAGACGCTGGAGAAATGGGGCCCCTACGGCTGGAGCAATACTACCCCCCCAAAAAAAATCCTTGGGGAAATCTACGGGGCTGTATTCGGGGCCTGGAGCCCACCCTGGGCCTAACGGGGAATCTGGAGCCCTTGTCTAAAGCCATTTAATAAATGTTTTTCCATTTTAGTTAGTATTCGCCTTAGGCCCAAACATTTTAATACTTCCTTTTTCATCCAGACCTGTGCTAAATATACTTTCAGATTCACAAGTGCTAATGAAGGTGGAGTTAAAACAATGACAAAAACAACAACATACAAACAGAGAACAAGTGGTGAAGTATTTTTGGGAAAACAGCTACTTGGTTAATGCGTCTGAGGCAGAGCAATGGCCTATTCAGGTATCTCTCAGCTGCCTGAAGACCAGAGCGTCTATTTGGACCAGAGGACATTTCACAGGCCAGTGGAGAGACTACATCATGCCGTCTCCAGCGCTCCGTGAAATATTTCCTTGGCAACAGGAGAAACAGCACTGATGCTGAGGGGCAAATTCTGCGGATAAAGCCAGTCTGGAACAAAGGCTAACTAGATGCTGCCATATGGAGCTCATGATCGATATTCAGTGACACAGCAGACATGCAGCAGTGGTATTTAGGAGGAGTGTGAAGGGAAAAGGGTAGTGCAGACTATGAAATGTCACTCTCTATTTTAATTGCAGTCATCGGAGCTTTGAAGTAAACAATGCTGGAATTTGTGAGTGCTGTACACTTTCTGAGCTGCAACACGCAGAGCTCGGTGGCACTGATTCAGGTCTAGGCTCAGAAATGAGAAATTTGATTTGCCATACCTCTCCATAATACTTGATATGTGCTGTCGTGACATTTGTTTACCAATACAGCAGTATTTACCATGATGACTTCTTTGTTGCATATTTGCAAAGGCTAACGTTGCTACAGTAAGCCAATTATCCACTGGCGCCATGTTACTCACTGAAGCAAGGGATTGTGTTTAAACAGCCAACAGAGCGGTGTGTATCTACTTGTCTATTCATTTCAAATGCTCCAGAACCAATCCGTTATTTTGTCTTGCAGCAGTTGAAATTTACCTATAATCTACTTGATGTTTATTTATCATATTACTGTTTACAGACTTCAAAATAAGGGTCAATCAAACAAATGAAACAATGAAACAATAATGAGCAGGAGAGGATCTGATATAATGTACTGTATGTTAATCGTTTAAAAAAAAAAATAATTTCCCTACCTATTCACAGATGAAGTGAAGTGAAGTGAAGTGAAGTGACATGTGGCCAAGTATGGTGACCCATACTTGGAATTAGTGCTCTGCATTTAACCCATTCAAAGTGCACACACACACAGCAGTGAACACACACACCGTGAACACACACCCGGAGCAGTGGGCAGCCATTTTTGCTGCAGCGCCCGGGGAGCGGTTGGGGGGCTCGGTGCCTTGCTCAAGGGCACCTCAGTCGTGGTATTGAACTCCCCCCACCTACAATCCCTGCCGGTACGAGACTCAAACCCGCAACCTTTGGGTTACGAGTCCGACTCTCTAACCATTAGGCCACGACTTCCCCTGTTATTATATGAGGTGGTCCATTTATCATTTTTAACTGAATTAAATTTGCTATTAGCAGATGCCATTATTATTATAACTGGTATTTTTCAATTGCAATTATTTTTGTCATTGAAATTTTTCTTCCTTTGTTTCGTTATTTCTTTTCTGCCATATTTTCTTATGGAGCTACAGAACTTTTTGAAACAGTCACCTTAATTGTAAATTCATGTAATTAACCACTCTTGAACTGCAGGAATGATCTCATTTAAATTCTGATTGGCTAGCTGAAACTAGCTGCAGGATCATGCTATCAGAAAAAAAAGGTACAAAGCTGTCACTGGGGTGATAAACTAAGATACAAAAGCTGAAAGGTACATCTCTCTACCTTATTTACCCTTAAATGATACATATTAGGACTTCAAAGGTACATGTTAGTACTTCAAATCTACATATTACTACTTTATAAGTACACATTGGCACGTAAAATGCACATAGTACCTTTTTAAAGGGTCCCACCCCTGTGACAGTTTTGTATCTTTTTTTCTTAGAGTGCAAATAGAAAAAAATATTCCAAGAAAGTTAATTTGAATGCTTTTGAGAGCCCTCAAAAAAGACTTGGGATCATGCACATTAGCTCGTAAAATATAATGAAATATTAGCAATTTAAGTGTTGCTTATTTAATCAGAATACATGTTACTGGAGATTTATTTATTTATTTGTTTGTTTATTTATTCTTTTTTACATATAACTCAAGTATGCTAACTACAGCCAAACTACTGGTAACAGAAGAATAACTTGGTCATGAGAGGAGAGAATAACATTTCTGTGTCATATTAAAGGGGTCATATGATGCGATTTCAAGTTTTCCTTTCTCTTTGGAGTGTTACAAGCTGATTGTGCATAGATAAGATCCCTGAAGTTGCAAAGACTAAAGTCTCAAACCCAAAGAGATATTCTTTATCAAAGTTAAGACTCTGCCACGCCCCCTAAAATGGCTCGTTCTAACATGCCCCCACATATCTACCTCACTATGTGGAAATATTTGCATAATGCTGCCCAAATGTGCACGCAAAGAAAGAAGGAGTGGTTTCAGTAACCGCAGTTAGTGTTGAAGCAGCCATGTCAGGGAGACGCTGTGTTTCTAGGTGAAAGCAAAAGCACTTTATTTGGCCTTCCGAAAGTAGATGCATTTAGGAATCTTTAAGATTACTTACAACAGAACCTATTGACTGTTCAAATGCGGAGTTTTGCGCATCGTGTGCGTGCGTGCATGCGCGCGTGCGTGTGAGAGAGAGAGAGGGGGTCACATCACAGTGGAGTCAGCTGTCTTAACCGTGGCTTGTGTGCTGCAAACACATACCAGCTTCATCACTGTGTCTGTCACGCGACTCTGTTCCCCTTTCGGGCTTGAACCTATGGTAAAACTAATGACATTATTTACTGTCTTTACATTTATTTTGAAAAATCATTTATTTTAGAAAAGGCGTTACATTTCCGACGAGTGCTTGTGGTGTTCGGCCAATCACAATGCACTGGGTCAGCTGGCCAATCAGAGCAGACTGCGCTTGTCAGAAGGAGGGACTTTGTAGAAAACGAAGCGTTTGAGAGAGGTGGGGCATAGAGGACCTACAATAATGTACAGTATTTGAAAAATAATGTGTTTTTTGAACATTAAAGCATGTCAACATATTCTGTTACACCAAATACACAAAATAATTATCTTTAAAAAAGCATCATATGACCCCTTTAACAGTGTCATCCTTATTCATGCTATATGGTTAATAAGCATGCAGTCATCACAGCTGTGGTTCATTATATTCTTCCTGTGGGAGATAATAATTAAAACTTTAAATCCTACACTAATGTATGAAACAGACGCTTCACACGTCGGTGACTTCACCTGAGCGTCACACACTGGGCTGTCACACAGAACCGAAAAGAGAATTAAACCTTATTCAAAGTAGACATCTGTCAAACAAGCTTCATCTAACTGCCAATATCTCATCCTGAAAATTAAAAGTTAAATAAGCAGAAATCATTATTTGTCAGCCCTCGTAAGGGCAACAGCTGATCATAAAATATCATGAATCAACATGCAATTATCTAGCATAAGTAGCAAAAAAATAGCATAAGTAAAACAGGGGATTTAGATGTTTCACTTAAAGCAAATGCCTTTTGGTTTCTGCATTATATTGTACAGAAATGTCTGTTGCATCATAACTATATGTTGCTTTTTCTGTTCATAGATTGACCATAAATGCAGAGTGCCAGCTTCAACTGCATAACTTTCCTATGGATGAACACTCCTGCCCCCTCATCTTCTCTAGCTGTGAGTATCTCTTCTCTTTATGCTCCACGTATTCATTCAACTTTATATTTCCATTTCCTTTAAAGACCCTTTTTCTTCTTTGGTTTTGAATGTTTTGGTTGTCATTTGTTCTGTTGTACAAGACAACCTTAAGCATTCATGTACAGCAGTATCAACATGCATTATGAAATGCTGCATTTGAAGTATATCAGCACAGTGTTGCATAAGCAACTTCAATCTTTTTGAATGGACAAAACATTTCTCGCTCATTCGCCTTTCATGCTGTAAATGTTCAGTTTAGATTAAACAATATAGCTTAGGATGTCTTTGAAATGTACACATATCTTCGGGAACAAGTGGGAAAGGGTCTGGAAATCCACTTTAGCCATTGATTTCAATGGATGTTTTTATTATACCACTTCTTTTTTTTTCATAACAACAAAACCTATACTTTTCTATTTTCAAATAATAGCAGTAAACAAAACTTACCGTAGAAGCAATTCAAGCTATGACAATATTTCACATGTGAAAAAAGCCTTTACTTTGGAATCACAGCAGCAAAAAAAGTAGTCTAATTTTTAAAGTGGAGAAATTGAAAAACTAAATTATAAATATTTTGGCACAAAAAAATTCTAACATTATATATGGACTTCAGGGCAAAAAATAAATAAGGGGAGAAACGACCCCTTTAACAGAGAAAGACAATATTTAGCCTGTAAAACTGCATTTTATGTATAATATTGCTAGTGCACTGTTCTAATGGCAGACGTGGCATTGCTATAGGGAATGTGTCACCGCTAATTAGGATGTCATGCTTTATGATGTAATATCTCATTTTTGCTCTCCATATATTCTCTTATATTGAAAGTAGGCCATGGATTTCATTGTATACACCAAGGGCACGGATAGGCTGGTAATTACTCTGCGTGTCCGACAGGCTCTTGAAATGCTGGCTTCATTAGCAGGGTGTCATGAATGACATTACTCAAGGGTGATAGGTAATAGGTGATGCATGTGTGGTGTTAAGAGTCCAGGCAAAGAGGGACGTAGGTAAATTGGAAAAGTTTGTGTCCTTGTGTAATGTAATTTCTCACTTCTGTTTCTCACTCAGCCTCTGCTTCTACCCCCTAATACACATCAGGGCTCTCTGCTCTTCTCAAAATGTTTTTTGTCATACTCATTTGTGGAGCCATGCTCAGAAAGTCAACACCTATTTACAGAAAGCTATGTTTTACATCACACCCATTTTCAACAGTAATCTTATTAGAGTTTGTGTGGCAAGCACTAACTAAAGGCGTTCTTCTAAAAATCAATGTTTTGTTAAGAAAGAGCTGTTATAATACATGTTTTTACAGTTGTTTACTTAGTAGCTGCATTATAGAAAATATAGGGAGTTCAAATTCAGAGTATTATTTTAACTAGATAATTATTGACAGTCGCCTTTGTACTGCATGGCACATTTGTTTATGTGTATTTACTCATAGCTGATAATAACTTTGATTTTGTACGCTTTCTGAAAGCTTGGCCCTGACTGTATTGAGACTTGAAGGACTGAAGAAAGTCCTGCCTCTAGAAATATTTTGGGTTGCTCTTTCATTGCCATGGAGACTTTTGATCTCAGGCTTGGTTTAGTTCTTTTGGAAAATAGTTTGTGACATTGTTGGCATCTCTTCCTCCCCAAGAGGTACTAAAGCAGGTTCCAGGGGCGCTTGGAAAGATTTTGATTTTGCTGTGTTAAATATATAAAGCAGACTATGACTCTGCAAGAGCGTTTTTTACTTGTCCTACTCAAAGTGAATCATTTTAATAATGGTCATTGTAATGCTAATGATAAAACTAAGTAGTATCCAGTATAATTTGAGTTCAATGAAACAGATTTCTGCTTTGGTGTCAGTGAAGGGGTACTTGATTCTTACTGATGGCGCTGTAAGGAATACAAAAATGGTTGCGAAGACACTGCTCTTGAGGGAAAATAAACATCTAAAAAGCAGGAGACATAAGCTAAAGTCTCTTTTGGTCTGTATTTAACGGTATTGACTCAATCAAACATTAATTCATTATGTGTTATTGTTACTTTCCTTAAACTTTCAGTTTTTTATATACACTATTAATTAATCTCATAATTAGTCAATTGATGACCATGCATCTCAGAAGGTCTGTGTCTGTAAGTTACTAATTATATAAATTCTTGAAGTTGGTGTACAGGTTTGTTTTAGGTTTTAATTTGTTCTGAATTGAGGCACTCAATTATTTCTAGCATTTTTAGAGCAGAACACATTTATTTTTGTCTTTGACTAGAGCATGTGTTTTTATTGAAAAAAATTTGATTTTCTTTGTCAGTATTTTTGTTTTGTTTTCCCAGTACAAACATTATTAAATCAATAGACATTTACATTAGAAGCAATATGACATACATTTTTTGAGACTTTTTTCAAAATTGAGTTTGTGCTTAAAATAATAAGAAAAAAAATCTGTAATTTTGCTTCTCAAGTAATTTATCTTGATTTAAGAATGTTTAAATATTTGTACTTGAAAACAAGACGAAAATACTGAGTAAGAAAATCACTTTTTATAGTGTTATTATAATGTGCAGATTTATGCAGTTTGAAGGGCTTCATTAGATTATTTAATTTTATTTTGTTTTATACAAGATACATACAAAACATATAGAATATTTTGCATGTGTATCTGAGGACAAATTTGGGTCATACTTTATTTTAAGATCAATTCTCGCTTTTAAAAATACAGCCAATGTGTTAATAATAGGCTTGCTAATAAGCAACTACACATTAACTAGTTGCTTATTAGCATGCCTATTATTAACATATTGACTGTTTTTTAGCATATTCTACATCCCTAATCCTACCCAATACCTAAACTTAATAACTTACTGACCATTAATAATCAGCAAATTAGAAGTTTATTGAGGCAAAAGTCACCGAGAATTGATCTTAAAATAAATTGTGACCCAAATTTGAGAATTGGTCCCTATACTAAATTGTTACCAAATTTGTATCCAAAAGTGAGATAAAAAAACATTTATAAAAACTGTATAAAAAAAGTGTAGGCCTGTGCATGGCATTTGTGGAGTGACTGTTCAGAAACTCGCCATTTTCAGCTATCTTTTAGGATGCTACAGGAAAATCTTAATTTCAGATAGAGCTCATTCAATACAACATGAAATATTACTAATTAATAGTTTGAAGATGTTTCTCCTCTGAATGGCTTCATTAGTGGTAGTACGATGGGAATATCCCCGGCATTTAACCTTATCACGCACTGCCTCGTCATGCAACTCCAGATTGCTGTGGGAATTGCTTCAGTGAATGTATGAATTTAGATCACTGAGGGAATCACCTGCCTGGCGCTGTGAATCTCAATCTGTGAGTTTGAATTGGAGCAAAACCGCCGATGTAGAGATGTCAGAACGGCATTGTAAGTAGCTCATAAGAGATGTTGTAGATCTCCACTCTCCCCCCGCCATGCAGGGATGCATCTTGACATAGATGACATCCTTTATGCTGTATAAACCATCTGTCTTCTCTGTCCTGCCTCTGTACACTGCTGTGTTTGGCACTGATCCCTAAGATGCAGGCGCAGAATTTGTGGTCCTCCAGTGTTGGACAATGTGCTTAAACAAATTGTTTAATTTTTCTGATGTGTAATATCAGAAATCTTCAGTAGCTCACGCAACTTGAGAGGTGAAGAGCTCGGGTATGAATCCTGTGAAACTGGTTCCACAAAACAGTTCAAACCTGCATATAAGGAAGTTCAAATGGCACGGTTGCATCAACAAATCCGTTTTTACTGTATACTAGTTTTGCATTTGTTAACACTATTGGGTAGGTTTAGGGTTGGGTTTGGTGTAGGGGATTTTTCGAACATGATAGAGCATTAACTTTTAGCGACATTACAAAAACAACGTAATATCAATGTAACAAAAACTTGCCAGGGTCACGTATTTGAACCCGCGTTTTAGCGCCACTCACTGGACGTTTCACTTTGAAACTGCCTCGAAACATGCAGTAAGGTACGTAATAACGGTGTTGCAGAAATGTATTTAGAGACATGTATTTCCAATGACTCTGGGTTGGTATATGGGCAAAAACACTGAAACACTTTTAAATATTGTTAAAATATTTATATTATATTATAATTATATTATAAATGTTATATCGGAAGAACGAAATTCATACAGGTTCAGGACGACATGAGGGTAAGTAAATTATTACAAAAAAAAATATCATTTTTGGGTAAACTATCCCACTAGTCACACTTAAAGATGCATGCATTTTATTTTGAGATAAAGTGGCATTTGCAAAAAGTGCCACGTCACGACAATGTGTGATTTACATTTGTATTGGAAGAGTAAACAGAAGGCAGAAAAGTAGAATTCAAATAGAACAAATATTTGCACATTTGCCATAATATACACTTTCAAAGAACATTATTCAGATAATGCAAAACCTGGTTGTATCCATGCAACATGCATCAAATCCACCAAGCAATCTGACCTAAATACCGTTTGGAGACCTGATGAAAAGTCATCGGTCATGAAACTCTGTACAGTCTGTAATGAAGATAGATGGAATGTTCAGATTCATTTAAAAGGTGGAAAAGTGCTGCATGTGCTTGCAATTCCTGCAAAAACCACCTTTTGTGGCCCTAACCGATAGGAGCTGCTTTTCCTGCTGCACAGAATCACCTTAGTGCCATTAACTCATCGAATTGCTTTGACTCCCCTTCATGGATTCGCTTGGAGGGGAAGACATTACCATTTCCATCAAAGCCTTTTTACGCTGCATAGAGGCAGTTATGAATGCTCTCATACTCTGATGGCACTTCTGCTCAGACATGCCGGGACATTTTTTGATCATTTTCAAAGGATGGTCAAAAACAGATCTAGATGGCTGTTGGGGTTATTAACTGAGAAGCTTCCTGAGAATAATTTGCTCACAGTGTTCGCAATAATGTGTGAGACTGAAGAAGCGACAAGTGACACAAAACGAGAAAGAGATTTG